ACAAACAGACTAGACTCACCGACAGCGGGTTACAACTTCAATACACGACGAGAGACAATGGCAACATGAGGGCAACTTATAGCAGACAAGAGGGTCACATGACAAGAACAAACCAATGGGAAACAAGACACATGACTAAAACAACCAATCAGAACATGACACATACACAAGGCAGAGAGACATGAGGCAAGGGAAGCATGACACTAACATCAGGAAACAATTACAAAATAAAAGACATGGACATGAACATGAAACAAAAACAAAACACAAACACAAAACCCCACATTACAAAATTACATTTTAAAATGCATTAAAATAGAAAATATTTATTTTAATAATATATTAAAATATTAAAATGAAATATTTTTATTTATTTGTATTTTTGATCAAATAAATGCAGCCTTAGTGAGCATAAGAGACTTGTTTCAAAAACATTCAAATATTCTTATAGACCCCAAATATTTTAACTGTATGTAGGTTAGTTACACATTAATAGTTGGCTTTTTATGAAACTAATGTGAACAAGTGTTTTGCATCATACCTTACTATATTTTGTATTTTAGTAGACTGCAACACTGTTTTGACCAATCAGCGTCCAGCCAGGACCCACTTTTTTTTTATTCTTTGACTTGAAAGCTGCTAATACATTTTAAATTATGCCAAAGAAATCTCACTTTAACAGCTGTTTGGTATTTGAGTTTGCGTACATGTTGAAAGTGCAAGTGTTACATAAGGATATTTTAAATGAAGGATTATAAAAGTAAACTCTCTTGTTTTGTTATCACAGCTACAAAGGAAGAGGCATATAGGAAATGACATCGTGGCCATCCTGTTTCAAGAGGAGAACACTCCATTTGTGCCAGACATGATTGCCTCCAACTTCCTGCATGCCTATGTAGTGGTGCAAGTTGAAAATGCCTGTTCTGACAACGTCCTGTACAAGGTACATTATCACAGTATTACTGCAATCTAGCGCTTCTGTAACACTTCTCTGTGAGTCAGTAAATGATACACGTATTTGTCATTCTCTAGGTTTCAGTAACAGCGAGAGACGACGTCCCCTTCTTCGGACCACCCCTCCCTAACCCAGCCATTTTTAAGAAAGTGAGTTGCTGAATCTAAATAAATGGAAGTGGAGTATTTATGCTTTGCACTAGCAACATCATGATCATGGGTTTAGTTCCTAAGGAATGCAATGATGAAATAAATACAGTAAATAATCTTTGAATGGCATTTGAGGGGGGGTATTTAGTATCTGCTAAATACAGTTATGTTCAGTTCAAAGGTTTGGGATTAGTGAGATTTTTTTTTTAAATGTTTTTTAAAATCTCTTATACTCACCAAGGCTGCATATATTTGATCAAAATACAATAAAAACTGTAATTTTGTAAAATATAATTAATTTTTTGAATATATTTTGAAATGTCATTTATTCCAGTGATGGCAAAGCTGAATTTTCAGTGTCACATGATCCTTTAGAAATCATTCTAATATGCTGATTTCGTGCACAAGAAACAATTAATATTATTATTTTCAATGTTGAAAACAGTTGTGCTGGAAACGGTGATCATTTTTTCAGGATTCTTTGATAAATATAAAGTTCAAAACAATTGCTTTTTTTTTTTTAAATAGAGTTTTTTTGTAATATTTTAATGCCTGTCACTGTTACTTTTAATCAGTTTAATGCATCCTTGCTGAATAAAAGTATTAATGTGTCTTTAAGAAATATATATTTTAAATGGTATTGCTTGTAACGAAAACGGAAAAGAGAGGAAAAGACTTTCCTCTCCTTCCAAATATAGAGTTCTGGCATGAAACTCTAGATGGCGCAGTCTATAGGTCTAACTCAATCTGACCTAATGACATCATTATCACATGGCACAGCTGATTGGTTCTCTCCTGTATCGGTAGCCAATGAGCTCGCTACTCAACATTCAAATATATGATTAGTGCTTGCAGTAGCTGTTGCAGCTTGCTTCAGAAACCCTCCACCTTCCCCAGCTCCACCTGTATAGATCTGCTACGAGGTGATCATGTATGCTATATGGGGGTTATTTTCATGTATGTTATATTTGCAGCAGCAATATTTCTTACATGCTCACAGCAGCATGTTGTGGATGTATTGGCAGTAGCAAGTCTCGGTACTTGTTCTGCCGCAGCAGCAGCGTAGCAGATCTATTCCGCCAAGACCAAATACATTAACATTGTCATGTACATTACCATGCCAATCCCTCCGAGAGTTGTCATGACAGAACTGTATTTCTCTCATTTGCTCTCCATCTACACCTTTCTGCCTCTCTCAGGGCCCAGAGTTTCATGAATTCTTGCTTACCAAGCTGATCAATGCTGAATACGCTTGTTACAAAGCTGAAAAATTTGCCAAATTAGAGGTAAGTGTCATTGAGTTGTCAGAAATCAGTGCTCATATGTAACACCAATGTATGGTTTCAAATGTGATGTATTGATAAAATGTATTTTATGATAAATGTGACTTACAAATGCATACATGTAACGTAAATGTCCTTAAAATAAATTTGCAAGCCTCGTCTAACAGTCATTTACTATTTATATTCAAATGTATTTGCTATACAAGTACACTATCCCACTTTCATCATCAGGAGCGTACCCGGTCTGCCCTGCTGGAGACGCTGTACGAGGAGCTGCACATCAACAGTCAGGCTATGATGGGGCTGGGAGGAGAGGAGGACAAACTGGAGAATGGAGGAGGAGGGGGAGGGAGCTTCTTTGAGTCTTTCAAGGTAATCCACAAGGACACAGGGCTCTGGGGGTCTCTGTGAGGGCACGTACATCCAGAATAGAGGAGGATGGGGATGTTCGTGAAGCATTACTCTAGCTTGTGCATGAATGGTGGACAGGGTGCATTTGGTTTGTGGTCATGAATCTTTTCATGACATGAGTCATTCATTCAGTGTAGTGTTATTTTACTTATTTTATTTTATATACTATTATATTTTATAACATTATATGTAATATTATATTTTAGTTTTTATAGTTTTAAATAAGATGTTATTTTATTTTTCTGTTTTCATTTTATTTAAAGTTCTAGTAATTTTGTTGTACTTATCATTTTTGTTAGTTTCCGTTTTTAATATGTCTATTTAGTATTAGTTATTAGATTTTATTTAATTTAGGTTCAGTTATTTTAGTACTTCAGCTTAAACGAAACAAAAAAAAATTCAGCTGGAATAAAATAAGTTTACATTTTAGTTTTAGTTTCAGTTAATGATGATAATAACTCTGGTTCAGACTGGTCTTTTTTTTTATCTTGCTGCTATTATTCTTTACGAACAGTAGCATTTTTTCTCTCTTGGGATTTAGATGGCGGTGTCTTTATGACTCCAGTTTCCAAGTGATGTAACCGATGCTACCTAAATTAAATTACTCATTACCGTAATTAACACTAATTAGTCCTGTTAGCACATTGTCGAGCATAGATGCACTCATGAGATTTATCTTGTGCTCTACAGTTTTTTGCTTCCTAAAATGCTTTGCAAATTAATCAGTAGTACATGATTCATCATACACAACATATTGTACACAAATATTTCTCTGTAATATGCAGCATCATGCCTGATGAGTATGTAGAGGTCATTTTTCAAGTAGACTGAATTTTCCATAGCTATAATTCATTACAGACAGACTGTTTGTATGTGCTTGGGAGCCGGGTTTATAATTGAAAGTGTTCATTGGTGTTCACACATTGATTGTGGTCATCCAGTCATGAAAAATCAGTCTTCTCATAAATAATTTTTCTTTTAACCTATTATATTTGCTTCCGCAACTTCCGCAACCACTTATTCGAACAGTTTTCATCAGCAGCTGTCTATAGCCAAACTTGTTCGCATAGATGCAGCTCATCTGTGGTTGTGGCATTCTGGGATTTTCCCTTGAAATCGGGCAGCACTTTAGTGGGTGATATTTGATCAATATCCATTAACACTCTCAGGCGGTTCTGCTCTCTAATGGTTGCTAGCTTCAGTAGTGGACTTCCTGCTAACTTCATATCACCAGTCCTCCCTCTGGCCATATGCTTTTTTCTTTTACAAACAAAACTGCACTCTTGGCTCAGGTATTTTCCTGGGTCATTTTAGCAACTTGATTCATTGGCTTCAGACCCACTCCATTGGCCCACCCTGACCTGCCGCTGCTCACCGTGTTTCCTCCTGATCTGTCCCTGTGCTATAGCGGGTGATCCGCAGCAGGAGCCAGTCTCTGGACACCATGGGCCTCAATATCAGGAAGTACACAGTCTCCAATAGTCACAGCGGCAGTTTCACCCACAACAACAACAACCACCACTCACCAGAGTCCCCCAAACCCCCTGGGATAGTAAGTAACCCCCTGCCCTACTGGCTTTCCAATGGGCCAAACTATGCTAGTCCCCTCACTTCCCTTCACTATGAGGTAAAAAACCGGTCCGGGTTACATATACATCACTAATTCCTGACTACACTAAAAGTTAAGCACATGCACAGATGCTCTGAGTTGGCAAACTAAAAACAAGCAACACAATGAAGATGAAATAATTAATGATTAATCAACCAACTTCTATTTGATAAATAATTGCCCTCATGCACCAGTCCCTTTTTTTATCCTCGTTTTTGATTCTCATTCCCATCATGCTTTCTGTCTGTCATCTCTGCAGCCACTGATCTTATTCACTGGACCTTTTACAGTTTATCTCAGGAGCATTTCTTTAAGGGTCACTTGCACTGGTCTTGCTCATGTTTGCTGCTCTAGCAACAGTTAGCATTTCCTGAGTTAAAAGGGTCAATGACATGAAGTTCCTATCTATTAGTTTATTCTAAACTACATTAGAAATGTAATTAATAGATTCATTGACTTCAATGCATCTCTTCTATTTTAAGCCTGTTTATAATTTCTGTATTAAAATATATTTTGATATTTTTTAGAGCACCTACATCACCACATGTTGTTTGAGAAGGTTTCGAGAAAAATCATCCGCAAACTCCAGCATATTCATTTGCCAGACACAACTGGAAGTTCAAACAGGACTGAGTTCTATGGTCAGATGAAACTAAAAAATGAGCTTTTTAGCTCATAAAAAATCTAAACCTGACTGCCTCTGTTAGAGACCTTATAATGGGCCATGGTTGAATCTTCCAACAGGACAAAGATCCAAAACAAACATCAAAATCAAAACAAAAATTGGGTCACTGAGCACAAAATGAAACTTCTGCCATGGCCATCCCAGTTCCCTGACCTGAACCTTATAGAAAATGAGTGTGGTGAACTGAAGAGAAGAAGCACCAACATGGAGCTGGGAATCTGAAGGGTCTGGAGTGAATCTTTATGAAGGAATGGCCTCTGATCTCTTGCCAGGTGTTCTCCAAACTCATCAGGTATTATATTAGAAAACTCAGAGCTGTTATGTTGGCAAATAGAGGTTGCAAAAATTATTGAATAAAAGGGTACAGTTAATTTTGTGTATATCGTGTATTAGAGAAAAACATTTATTTCATAAGATTTTCCCCCCGTTTTAAATTCTTAAAATAAAATATTTTCATAGCACTTCTTTGTTTATATTCACCAAGGGTACCAACATTTGTGTGTGTGTGTGTGTGTGTGTGTATATATATATATATATATATATATATATATGTAAACATATAAGTAAAAGAAAAAATTAAATAGCAACTGCTTCACTACTTAATTATTATAAACAGTTTAATTGTTTTTATATATATGTAAAGACATATAAGTAAAAGAAAAAATTAAATAGCAACTGCTTCACTACTTAATTATTATAAACAGTTTAATTGTTTTAATAATTCATAATTTAATTATTTATTTAGCGAGGACCCCTGAAGACCCTCATGACTATATGATAAGATCAGTAAGTCTCTTAAAATATCAGATAAGATTAGTTCAGGTTGTAAATGTTCATGTGGTGCAAATCCCTAAAAAAATAATATTTTTGATTAAATAATTTGTAATATTCTTTTTTTTTTTAAATACCTTGAAAAATATATTTAAAAACCTTTTTGAAAATAATGATGGTTGCATGGCATTTGTCACATGACATTTTATTTCGAAAATGATAACGTTTTTCAAATCCATCGTGAATACAAAGAATAAATATTTGAGAACTTGGCGCATATGTTTTAAACTATATATTTTTTTAAAGTGTTTTCCTTTTCTTTATTGCGGACACTTTTATACTGTATAAATATGTCATTGACCCAAAAGCATGTGATATGAATTTGAGCTTTCCCCAACGCAGACTGTTACTCCTTTAACCCCCGTTATGATCACAGGAGGTGCGTGTGTGTTATGGTGGAGATGAGGTCCTCTGAGAAGTGCATGACATAAATTGGTGTGGAATGTGTTGAATGTCGTTCATGAGGGAGTGAAACACTGTCAGATAGTCTACAAGGGGTCATGTGAGACATTGTTTTGTTATTTTCCTTGCAGTGTCCCTCAGGAATGAATATTATCTGATTTTGAAGTAGGATAAGGCGGCCTGCGGCAGTATTAGTATAAAGATGGTTGTGAATGTATTGACCTTACCACATCCCCCACAGGATCAGATGCACATCAGCACCACATAAGGACCTGCTGGGAGCATTACATATTTATGTGTGTGCATGTTGAATGGATTCTGCTGTACTAATGTCTTAATATGCAGGTGTCCTGTTGGTAAGTATAATGCTTGCACAGGTTAAGTACAGAGGCAGCGTCCTCCGGCCAGCCAGCTCAAGCGCAGTGGCTCTTATGGTGCTGCTCCTTGCCCTGGGGACTGTCACACACTGAGAGCCATGCTAAGTCATGCCAGCGCCCTTGTGAGCACAACTCATATGAGTCTAGTGAAATCCCACTTTCCCCACAGGGACTTGCACTGGAACAGACTTCAGAGTTACTGAGCCATGTCTCTGTCACAGTTAATGTTTCTGTTATTTATAGCACTATCATATGGCATGTCAGTCATATGGACGTTTTGACCTTCACACAGGTAATGCAATGGAGAATAAAAACCAAAATGTTAGCACTAAAATTTTTCGGCTATTGGGACTTTAATCCCAAAGGTTACAGGTGAAAATGAATCGTGTATAGTGATTCATCCCCCTATGGTGATTAAGTCATAACAACCAGGGCCATGGACAGTAATGGGGGGCCCACTAAGGTCCTCTGTGACAGTGGTTCTCAATTGGTTTTGCTTCAGGACCCAGTACATTACACATCAAGTGACAACCCAACACATACCAAAATTATTTATCATAAACAAGTAAATAAAAATGTCTTTAAAATCACACTGAATAGGTCCATAGGTCCAATAATATGCAAAATTATTAACATAAACTGGATACTAAAATTGACAGTGTTTTTGTGCATTTTTATTTTGTTTGTAGTTTTTATTTTATTTTTGTACGATTTTATTTTATTGTAATTACAAACATCCATGAAACACATTGAAAGTGTATAGGTCCAACAATATGCAAAATGAATGGCATAAAGTAAATAAAAACTTTAAAATCACACTGAAACTTGCATAGGTCCAATGATATGCAAAAATTATTAACAAACTGGATAGTAAAATTGACAGTTTAGTAAATTCTGTTTTTTATTTAAAAATGTTTCAATTTTATTTGTATTTTTGTACATTTTTATTTTATTGTAGTATTTTATTTATTTATTTATTTATTTTTGTACTTGTATTGCAAATAAAAACATCCTTAAAGTCAAATTGAAACTGCAAAGTGCTTAGGTCCAACAATTTGCAAAATAGCATAAGCTGGATAGTAAAATTTTAAGTTTTGTACGTTTTGTTTTTTATTTTAATATTTAAAATGGTATTATTTTATTTTATCATATCATTGTTTTCCCCTTCTATGTGGGACCCTGATATGAAAATGGATTGGCTTCAACAGGCCAATCCATTTTTATATCACGACCCACCAGTTCTATGAGCCACTGATCTATGATATAACCTGAGTTTGCATAGCTTGCATTTTTGCAAGATGAACATGATATCTGGCCCAATTAAAGAGAGCTCAGTTACCAAAACATTGCATAAATGCTTATTTAACAGCATGATATATATGAATTTCTTTGTCTGACTAACCTGTTCCAGCAATGTTAACCTGACTAACTGTTAAGCTGTGTTCAAAAGTCAACTGTCCAGTTGTCTCCAATTGTGTGCTGTGTGCTCAGCTTTCTTGTCCTTCACAGGTCCCGTACCTCCTGAGGTTCCTCCGGCCCTTTTTTCTTCGTGTGGCTACTCTGTTGTGTTCATGACAGCTTTTTTCTTGCTGTTCATGCTTTGATGACTGTCTCTCCAGCAGATGTTTGTAGGCTACTTTGTTTGTTAACACATAACCTATTGCATGGACTCATGATTTCTCTCGTTCTCTCTCTCTTTCTCTGTGGGCTCTGTGCAGTCATTGCTTGTCCCAGGCAAAAGCCCAAGTAAATATGGACGTCGTGGCAGTGCCATAGGAATAGGAACCATAGAAGAGGTTCATGTATAACTCTCACTCCTCTCTCATATGCATCATTTGTTCTCACCGCATGTTAACAGAATGATTGACACTAATGTATACAATAATACACCCATTGAACAAACTATGTTTACTCCAGGGTTATTATACAGTAGTTAACTACAACTAAATCCATAAAAAGGCTTTCATTACTTTCGTTACAAAAAAAAAAAAACTTAAATTGAAATAAAATATATTGAAAATTTCATTTGGTTTCAAATTTCAGTTAATTTAATTTGATATAGTAAAATAACTCAAACTAAGTAAAAAATAAATAAAATCTATATAGACATATTTAAAACAAAAACTAATAAAAAAAGACAAAAACATATTTATAAATTTCACAGCAGTTTTTAATTGTTTTCAATTAAATATGGCATTTTACCCTGACAACTTCATCTAACCTTGTAATGACATCTTTTTCATTTTTTAAATTTCATTTTAAATTATTTTTACATTGTATTTTTTATTTATTGCAATAATAAAATGTGGCCGATAGCTGATAAATTGTCCATTTAAAATTCTATATTTTGCCTAAACAAATAAAAATACTAAATATAAAACACTAAAACTAAAATCAATCATTTTAAAATCTAAAGTGAATTTAGGTGAATATTCATTTTGAGATTTTGAGATTAATTTTGCCAAGTATTACATTTAAAGTGTTAAATTATGAACTAAAATTATTAGTATTTTGTAAAGATGAACTTTTAAGTGAGCTTTAAAAGATGGCAAAGTTCTTCCTTAAAAGCAGAGGAAATGGGCATGCACAATTAAATATCCAACATCGGCCAATAATGATAAAATATCTTTATTATTGGCCGATAACTGATATGAAACAAATATATTGTGCATCCATCATTTTAACAGCTATCCAAGCAGATATTCATGCCATACTATCAGGTCTTACGAAACAGGCCATTTTCCTATTGTAAGCCACTTTGACAGTTAAGCATTGTTCAGTCAGAAAGTCATATTGCACATTTTTATATCCGATGCCACTGTTAAAATGATCCATGTACATCTATGTGTAGCAGAATTGTTTCAGTGTTTATGTTCATGGTGAAAAGTCACAGATTTCATGATAGCTCTCCTTTCAGCATCACTTCCTGCAAGTAATGCATCGCTCTGCTGCGTTTTTAATGTCCAATGTTACTTCTTGTTGTGTAGTAGTATGTACTATTCGGTGTATTTCTGTCCCCTCATCTGATAATTGTACACTCTTTGCGAGCTAATAGCATAGAAACACAAAGGAAAAAGGCAGCAGAGTCTTTCCAAAGCCTTTGAAGCCATTTTAGATAAAAGCCTTTTTGAAGGTCTTTCATTTGAAGTCATAAAGCAGTAGCTGTAAAATCCCAGCGCTCAGGCTTGAAGAGAACAAAGTGTCCCCAGCGAGAGCACAGCGCCCAGTGAAGCTCAGAAGATCCTGCTCCCATCTTTCATCTCTCAGTTCAGGCCGAAACCCTCAAGCACACACTTCACATCCACCTTGCCAGTCAAGATACGAAACAGTGTCTTTTGTTCTCAAAAAGACTGGAGCATGCCACAGATAAAAGAAATAATAGATCACAATTGCAAGTGGTTTAACATAGACCTGACCTATAGAGGATCTATTATCCTTAAAGTTTCCTTTGAGACCACATGGTGACCATCACAGTGTGAAGGTGTGTCTGTATGAATCCTAGGCTCACTGATCTTCTTGTTCTTGTTCCTACAGTCTTTGATCATTCCTGGAAAAAGCCCAACTAGGAAAAAGTCAGGACCCTTTAGCTCTCGACGTAGCAGTGCTATCGGCATTGAGAACATCCAGGAGGTCCAGGAGAAGAGGTAAGAGGTTAAATGAAGCCTTAGTGAGCATAAGAATCTTTAAAAACAAACAAAAAGTTGTGCCAACTCCAAACATTTGAATGGTAGAGTATGTGCGTGTTTGAGTGAGAGCAGGGCTCAACATTAAGAATCACATGATGGCTCAGGCCAGTTTGAGAGAGATATTAATAGAATTGTCAGTATTGACAGAATGGTTATATTTCCAAAAATCGTACATTTATTGATCATGCACATGTACATGCAAAAACAATATAATATTTGTACATGTATGTATTTAGTCTTTTTTATCTTTTTTACTGGCAAGATAACATTTAATTAAAATATAAGAGTTAAGGCCCATTCACACCAAGAACAATAAAGATGTAGTTTTCATTTTAAATTTAAAAGAATAGCAGAGTCCACACCACAACTCTAATGATAATGACACAGTGGAACGATATTATTGGAGTCACTTTCAAAACGATTTTTTTCCAGCTGACGAACGCTAAAAACATTCAACACTCAAAACAGAATCCAACTTGCTTTAAAGAGCTTGTTTATTTAAAGCAGCGGATGGCATGATTGCAGCCTGTGCTTATAATAAACAGAACAATATTGTGTGTGGACACTAATATAGTTAACGTTATAGTTATCTTTAAGTTAGCGTTCTTGGTGTGAACAGGCCTTTATTGGCAGAACATAAAGCATAATATTACAACTGAACTCCCTCCTTTTGTGTGTGTTTATATGTTTGGTGAAGAATTGCTGCTCTGTTGTCAGAGGACAGGACAGTGCTCTGTCTTTCTCTACCCAGCGTCACTCTCAAGAATGGGAGGCTCGTCGTGGATCCTTCCAAGTATAACTGCCACCATAGAATGACACCTCTTTAACCATAGAGTAGCTGCTTACCTTACCTGGCCATAGAAATGCATCTGAAATGCTATGAATTATGGCCTTTAGCACATTATTAAACTGGTCACACATGCAAAATCAACATGCTAACTGATTGGTGGTCTGCTGATTTTTCAGCCAATCAGTAATGTCTGTTTTACTGATTTTGCATGAACTGGCCTTTGTCATATGTGCTGTAGTACTTACAGGCCCTTTGACTGATGTTGCTCTGAATTAATGTGTTTCAGTGTAGTGATGTGAATCGGCATGTACTGTTGTATCGAATTTAACCTAACCTAACTCTGAGACTGCAGTTGGACTCCGTCACCTCACCTTTGACGTGTAGAGTTGCAAACACAATGCTTATGCTGCCCTCTGATGGTGAGTGTGTGTGTCTGCAGCAGTAGAGAGTGCTCTCCCAGCACACAGAAGACTCCTGACAGTGGCCACGCCTCCCAGGACCCCAAGTCTGAAAACTCCTCCAATCAGAGCTCTCCTGAGGTCCTCATCACTAAGAACAGGTAAAGTGAAAAGCATTAACCTGAGTGATGATTGATTCGATTTGTTCACATATATCAGTGTAGATCAGACTATAAATTTGCCTTAACCCATATTTTTATGTCTTTAGGGTTAATTTCAACTTTTTGTAATATAAAGATCAAAATTCTTTTGGAATTTTTATTTACCATGACTTTATTTATTTTTGCTATATTTCAGATGTATTTTAATGTAAAGGTTTTATTTTTCTCTTTCTTTAGTTTCCATCTTAATCAATGAAAATTAATTAAAAAAATAAGAATCAAGAGAATGTGAAATGATTTGTACACAATGATTTATTTTTGAAAATCATTATTTTGTTGACAATATTGCATTTAATAAAATTAAACATTTATAGGCATATATTGAAAATTGTTGTGACCATTTCCACAACGACAAACAATTTTGCCCCATAAGCTTTTTTCAAATGTTATAGTGTACTTGCTTATCAAGGAGACAAACATGTTAATGAAGAGCATCCTTGAGATAATGAATAAGGTAAAACATTTTATAGTGTGTTTTGTCCAGTTTTCTCAAATATGCAAAACATGAAAAATATTATGTAAATGTACAGTTTTAGGTGCATAAAATATCATTACCATCACTTCCATAATTTTAGATGTGGTGGAAATGTTTGAGAAAAAAGGCTGAAAATATGTCCACTGTTGGACATTGTTAGACAAACTGAACTAGTGAAACACCCTATTAGTGTTACAGTTCCCACTGCATTTACCTGCATGCAAGAGAGTCATTTTGTTTTATTTTCTTGCCAAAATCAGTTTTTACTCGCATTTGGTGCTTGATAGGGTTTGCTATTGAGCACTTGCTGTGTGTTTTGGTGGATGCAAGTGATCTGACAACAAGAACTATAGTTGTTTCATGCTCGTTATGGGTGAAAGCATTAAGAACATGTGTTTGTTTGTGTGTGTGTGTGTGTGTGTGTGTGTGTGTGTGTGTGTGTGTCGCTCAAACATGTA